TCAGACTAGAGCACTGGGCATAGCCTAACCCTTACCTCAACATCAGACTAGAACACTGGGCATAGCCTAACCCTTACTTCAACATCAGACTAGAGCACTGAGCATAGCCTAACCCCTTACCTCAACATCAGACACAGACCACGGGTGCCCAACCTGTTTTGAACCGAGAGCTACTTTTAAAGTTGCCAGTCTGCCGAGATCTACCAGTCCAAATAGAGAGGCGATTACTGACAGCTACTACCAGGTACATACACACTTCTACTTAATACTTCATCAAATACTGCAGATCCTTCATCTTACCTCTTTCTAATCTACACACACACAAGTATTTCACTGAAGTTACACAACAGTGCTGTTGATACAGAGTTGGAGTTTATTCACACGTCACATACTACAGTGGGTAATGTGTTCAAGAAACATTGAACAGTGCTGCCTCATATGACACAGGACAAAAAGAAAAGACTCTGAACCCTTTCTTTGCCATTATATCATATATACGGACGCGTGTGGCGCAGAGTCCTGCATCGGGTCGGGTATCCGCGGGTACCCGACGGGTGACCCGCAAAAAAGGTGATTTGCGGGTGGTATTTTTTCAAACGCTTTTTTCCGGGTTCGGTTCTGGGTAAAACAAAGATGATGCGGGTCGGGTTGCGGGTGTTGCATAATAAATATATTTAAATAATAATAATTTAGTTTAATGTTTAAATCCTCAGACCTCTCCCCCGCGGGACCGAGCATAATCATAACCTCTGCAGCGCATCTATCTGCTGCTGAGCGCGCCACATTCTGAATGGCTGAGGGGAAGCTCTCTAGCGGAGAATACAGCATTTTCAATAACTCTTCCTCAAGAGCGAAATCCAACATCTGGGAGGCTTTTGGTGTCATCCTAGATGGAGAAAATAACCAACCTCCCAGGCTTTTTGAGCCAAACATGCAACTGCGTGTGTTAATAATTGCACGTTTTCACTGCTTATATATATGCGGGTTCGGGTCGGGTTGCGGATCTTGTGCCGGCGGGTCGGGTCGGGTTGCGGAACTAATTGGCAATATGTGCGGGTAGCGGGGCGGGTTCGGTATTGCACGTCGCGGGTGCGGGGCGGGAGCGGGTCTTGAAAATCAGACCCGTGCAGGACTCTGCCATGCACTGCAGTGCATTATAACCAGCAGCTAAATGGCTCCTTCTTCTCTCCCACTTAAAGTGAACCGTACATTACATAATGTGGACCTGAAGCATTGTTTACATTAATTGTAAAGCCTCACCCTCCATCCTTACCTCTCTGCTGGATGCTGAGCTGCACGGAGGTGCGCACAGTCCCCACAGGGCTGACTGCCTGACACTCATACTGGCCCTCGTCATGGGCGGCCACTCGAGTGATGCGGAGAGTACCAGAAGACAGGACCACATGGCGGCGATCTAGGGGTAATGGACTGCCCCCACGCGTCCAGGCAATCACCGGCTGGGGGTAGCCACTTGCCTCACAGGGGAAGTCCACTGTGTGACCCTCCAGTGCTGATTGGTCCTGCGGCGTGACCGTGAACTGTGGGATTGCTGGGGGCAGAAGACAAAAAAAACGTTATTTCAAATAATGAATGCTGAAAATATACGACCAGGGGATAAGGGGATTAATCAGTAGGAGAAAATCTGACTGGTAACACGAGCCAAGAAAACATTCATTTTGTCAATATGAAATCTGAAACTGATGACACACATTTATAATCAAACATGTTAGGTATATAAAGGCTATCAACTAAAAGGTCCATACAAATTGCAAAAGGAAATTCATCACATTTGAGTGGCATGGAGATGCTTCTGTCATAGAACACTGTCCTTGCCGTGAGATGAGATAATGCAAGCGGAGTAGAGTCTTGAATTCATATTACTTTGGATTGGGTAACATGAACTGAGGTGATTGGTCCGGATGTCTTAAAAGATCATGTGTGATTCTGTAAGATGCACTTTAATTGAATAAATACAAATTGGTTTAGATTGTTAATGGCTTTTAAAGAGTCCCAAGTTGCGTTTCCTAAAGCATTTGAAGGAAAGTAAAAAAGTCTCCACAGAAGAAGAAATCTGGTATCTGGTAAGAAATACCTTGTACAATGATATATGCTGTCGCGTGTATGGTATCAACATTATTGGAGGCAAAACAGGTATACTGTCCCCCATCATCCTGGACCACGTTCTGAATAAAAAGCCCTCCAGAGGGTGTGATGTTGATGCGAGCGTCGTTGGGCAGCGGGGTCCGATCGCCCTTTGTCCAAGAGACACGGGGCTGCGGCTGGCCGGTGGCGCTGCATTCCAGGGTCACACTCTCTCCCACCAGCACCTCCGTGTTTTGCGGCTGGATCACAAAACTTGGCCGTGCTGAAAGAGAAGGGGGAGGGGAAAACGTGGGAACTGGGTTAGATCAATTAGGTGAGAGGTGCTTTTTCATCTGGGTCTCTGGTTTAGTGTTTACACATTGGTGAAAATAAAGCAATTGAGAAATGTGTGTTTGAAAGGCCAGTTTATGCACAAAGATCATCTTTGTATATTTCTGTCAACAACGCCACTTTGAAAACTGCTAAAACAACCTCCCACATGTATGACAACATTTTTTGGGGTCCTGTCCATATTTGGCCAGTGATTACAGTGGAGTCAGAGGAAGTATGTATACAGGGAGAGGACTGGTGTTTACAGTCACACTGAGAAAGGAAATGCACAACATCTGCTCTCAAACTGTTCCTAAACAAGGGGTCGTCACTAAGGCCATCCATCACCCCGGCGATGACCCTTGGGTCACTTAAAGACAGACATGCTAATCTCCCAGAGGGACAGATATGATACTGTGACAGATTGATGTGTGAGTAATGTGTAAGTGTGTGTGTGTGTGTGTGTGTGTGTGTGTGTGTGTGTGTGTGTGTGTGTGTGTGTGTGTGTGTGTGTCTGGACAGAGATAGAGAGAAGGAGCAACAGAGGACAGAATGCACTTGTGTGAGTGTTTCTCTTAGTGTGAGTGTGTCAGAGGAAAATCTAAGGATGAAAGCCAGCATGCTTTGCTCACAGCTCAGTGAGACATCCCAGTTATTTGACCTGCTGAACTGTGAGGGTTGCTTAGGGGCTGCTCAACGTGCAGACACTTTGCTCTATTCTGATCACAGACAAAGATCAAACATGAAAAACTGATACAAGTTTTAAAAGAATCTGGCTCACAGGAGAGATGTATAAATTAATTGTTTCACTTTCGTTGAAATTGAAAGATAAGACATTTGTCACACATTCAAGTGGTGTTAGAATAAAAAAATTAAAAAAAGTTCTTGACTATAAAAGTTGAGGTGAAAGTTTCCTTGAAAAAAAGCTATCAACATGTTGTTCAAACTCAAAGAACTAAAAGACATCTTTTTTTTAGGGTTCATGTTGTTTACACATTATGACTCAGAGCTCAAGTACAAACGGAAGAGCGATTTTCCTGGCAGGGAAATGCAGCATTGGCCTTGGAAGAGGTCTGAGCCGTCCTTAAAGTGTGTATAGCATGACCCCCAATGACACTACGATAAACCAATGAAAAAATGCAGTACATCAATGTTGGTATGTGGATCTGAAAGTAAGACTCGATAAGGGTTTTGTCAAGAAGATCACTTTTCGGAGGCTAGTGCCCTTAATCTGAATTTTCCAGTTTAATCTGCAATGTAGGTTAAAAAGCCTTGACTCCGTCAGATTCAGATGTCTGCATGAAATGTTCACAATGCAGGTTTAGAAGTTAATACAATTCCCCTGTGATAAGCAGAGGTGGACATTGAAATCAGCAACTTACTTGGGGCTCCAAAATATCGCAGCGTGACCTCTGAAGTCTTGACCTCCCCAGCCACGTTTTTGGCCATGCACTGGTAGACACCCTGGTCTGTCTCCCTGGTGTTCTGAATCATCAGCGTCCCGTCTTCCAGCAGGTTCAGACGGCTGTCATCACGCATGTTTAGAGCATTGCTATCAGGAAGGCACAGAGACACACATCACAACCAATGAGACATGAATCATTATATGTATACAGTCTATGTAAATCACGGGTCCTAACTGGGAAAAGCTGACTTAATGAGAGCAATGCCTCGCACCAAACGTATTATTTTGTAATTAATTACATTGACACGCTTATAACCAAACATTACATATTATGTGTATTTCAGTGCCTTACTTGTTCCTGAGCCAGATGATTTGTGGTTTTGGGTTTCCTTCGGCCCTACAGGTGAAGTAAACAGTGTTCCCTGAGGTCACATCCACATCCCGCGGCTCCGAGGTGATCCTGGGTACCTCTGGAAGAAAAGAAAAGCGAGAAGAATGGGAACATTATTATACACAGAATGTCCATTCAATTGTCCCTGTATGCTGTTTCAACCAGTCTGTCCTTTGAACTGAACCTCTTGTGAATAGCTCTAGCTATCCCTTTCCATTATGCTAGCAGGGAGTCTGTAGCTGAACAGCATGCCTAGGCAGACATTCAAAACAGTGAAGAAAAATAGTAGACTATCCTCTCTGGGCATATTTCCTGAGCCATTGAGGGAAAGTGACACTGTCAGTTCATTAGCCAGAGCCGCAGAGTAGTATTATTAATTTATAATTCAATATAGTCAGCATGCCCTAACCCTTGAACCCCCCTCCCCCTTCAAATATAAATCACTCTCGAGGACATTATTGAAACGGCATGTAATGTAAGGCACTTTCCTTGCCAAGTGTATGTAGATGATCATCCACAATAGCAACTACACACAATCTTACAGCCATGTGTCCGAACACCCACAGACGCTGGGGTAAGGAATATGCACAAATGTTTCCAGCTACTAAAACACGATACACCTTAAGTTTTACTTCTGTCTCAAAAGGAAGTAAAGCTCCCACACAATGCAGCACACGCTTTTTTTTTGTGGCTCCTGCTAAACACACTCACTGTACAGATGGTAGACACATTTCAGAGCTACCTCTACAAACACTTATTTCCAATCAGCTTACATAAAGAACAAGCCATAGGATGTGGGTATATCTGTGTACAAACTCATAGGAAGCTTGTGAACTTCAGGCTACCCATCTCTCATCTTCCCACCAAATTACTCCAAATAACCCTGGGGATTGTAATTACAGTTTTGTGGTAACCCACCCTCCATTGTTGTTCAATAAGGAGGCAAGCCTGGTTCATCAGATACAACTTGTGCAGGGAGGTGGCACTTCATTTTTAAGAAGGATGGTTGTTTCGACAGCTGCTCGACCCACCATGCATTGTTCCACCTCGTTTACAGGAGCAAGAAGGGAGTACAAGGAGGGAGGGAGGAAGAGAGGGAGGTGTGGAATTACTTCCAGCGTGTTTTGAACCAGACATTCTTCCTCTGCTGCTTGGATATGCAGACAGATGGAGGGGGTAACATTGAGCAAGAACGGGCAAGTTGGTGCCATCAAATTAGCTGCTGAGAATTAAATGTGGTTGGCTTACAGTCAGCTGCCTGGCTCAGACTGAAGCGTTCAGTGGGAGCTGGAGGAAACACTGAGCTGAAGCAGTTAGATTTACTGCAGGAGCCGACCGCCGGGTATAGAAACCAACTGGAAATCTGCCATGCAGGCTTATAGTGATGTTGTTTCTATTGCAGTGTTTAACAGTACCAATGCACTCAGGGCCGCCCCTGACCAACTTGTGGCCCCACGCAAAGTTATGAGATGACGCCCTCTGTGTCGCGAGCGCATAAAGGTGCGCCGCATTTGCGCTTCGGATGAGGCCCCCTCCGCGAGGTGAGGCCCCAAGCACTCTGCGTGATCTGCGTGTAGGGAGGGGCGGCCCAGAATACACCCTGTGGTTACTTCCCTTTGGATTGAAAAGCTTGCAAAAGGTACTCCACCCAAGGTAAACTAATCAATATTAGTTATGTTAATAGTAATTGTTAATATGCATTTTTGCTTTTCTCTCTGTGTGTAATATTAGTTTTCATTATACTATTTTAACATAACATTTGCAGCAAAAGAGATAAAGGCAGACTTCCAGATGTCTATCTGTATTATCTTGCATTTGATGTCAGGTATCATCTGATCTTGGGCTATAGAAGGAATGTAAGCACAGGTATTTAGGATTGGCTGGGGGTATCCTGTAAAAGACGGTAGCAACCATTTGATAACCTTATCATCAGTGTTTTTTCTTTACATCCTACTAATTCACATAATAACACTTATGTTATGTGTCCTTGTGTGCCTTTCAATGTTGTGTGATATATTGTTTTGTTCTGTCTGTACCCTGTATAAATAGAAAACTGTAAAAAAAAGAAAAGAACAAATGACAAAAGCTTAGGACCACCCCATCACACCCCATAACATGAGCACACATATCATACACAGGCTGAGCAGCTGCTGGTGGTCTGAGATCAGAGGCCAAAGAGGGTCCTGACTGACATTTCACCCAGACCAGAGACGCAGCTGGCGATGTATGAGGAGTGAAACAGCTGTGTTCCCACAGCCGTCAGACACAAAGAGAGGATACACCTGTGTCTGTGTCTATGGGTGTACGAGTACGAGTGACTCAGGGTGACTACATGCTATTTGCTGAAAGGACGGCTGCAGGATTTGTATGTGGATTTAGGATTAGGTTAAGATGTATAGAAATAAGAACATGGAAACCACATGCAAGCTGCTATGCAAACATGCATGGCTGTATGCTTGCCCCTAAATATGTGTTCTTCAGTTTCTTTTTAAAACTAAACTTCCAATTTAAAAAAAAAACAGGTTTCAATAAAGAGGCTTTTAATAAAAACATCTTGTGTTGCTTTGTGCTTTCTGCAAATAGTTTGCCAACGGTATTTGATTTTTACAAATGTGTCAGTTGGGCTTGATGGAGATATGTCATTAGAATGGATCATAAAAACCCTGCTTTTCTCTGACTTTATACACTATCTAAAACACATGGTCATTATATTTCAGAATTGTCATGATCAGTGGGAGGTGTGGTTATTCTCTCCGTACCACAATTGAGCTCCTGGGCGGTGAGTGTTGCCACCGATCTGCCCTGCAGGCGGCTTGGGTAGTCACAAGTGGCAGCAGCCTGGGCATTTCCCGACTCAGCATACTCTTTCAGCAGATCAGCCAGCCACAGCAGCTCACAGTCACAGTTCAACGAATTGGAATCCAGTCGCCTGAACACATAAACAACATGCACAGACACATAGCAAGTGAGAAATTGGGTCACGTTAAAACTGTTATACTGTATATGAAATGTGAACTTGTACCAGCAGCGGTGTAAATGAACTAAAACTGGTCTGGCATGGCATGGCCCCGCTCAGTCCAAACAGTGGGGCTCAGCAGGGACATATTGGAAGACATTCTCCTTCTGCCGTGGGAAACTCTCTCTGTTTGGCCTCTTTTCTGATTAATGATCCAGCTTTCAGTTCTAGTACAATTTTTCTTTTATCCATAATAGGTTTTTCAGAAGAATTAGCTGTCTAAGTTTTACGTTTGTGAAGCTCTATTGGATAGTGTGTTCATTTGTGTACCGCTTCACTTTTAAGTTTCTTTGTGATCATTTATATATATTAAATATTTACATACTAGAGTCATGATTAGAGTCAATTCAATGCCAGTGAGTTTCTTTTATTATCTGTTTAAGTTCTGGCCTAGGATCTGACAAATACTTAAATGGTCCTTCATGGGATGTGGCCAAACTGTGGATTTGTCTACACTGCCTGTTGGCTGGATGAGGTTAGAGTTTAAAGATAATAGGCCTCATGTTGTAAGACCACAATTCTCATATTTCATGGAAGATTAAGCATATGTTGTGCTTAAAAACATTTAAAATGTTATTTGCTTTGCTGATCATAACTTACACTACACAATCCATTTTTAATCCCCGCTGCAGCAGACTCAAAACTCTAAACTGCAGGAAGGGCTATGACTTGTGATAGAATGCACCTTGCAGCCAAAGTGTGAGAACATTGCAGTGTGGTTACGTGGCATGAAACAGACGACAGGCCCCACTTGATAATGGGTGTCATGGGAGTAAGCTACAGAAATGGATAGAGACATGCGTTTCAACACAGCTGTTTGAGGGACTTTTTTTTAAAACTTACAATCGCTTCATGGACTGAAGTTGAGTGAAGGTTCCCGGGACTAGTTGGGTGATTCTGTTGTTGTGCAAAAACCTGAGTGAAAGACAGACACACTTTAAGATAAACATTTCACAGAAATCCTTTTTTTTCTTCAAATAGTGGAATAATAATGGAATATGTGCTTTTTGTTAATATCATGTTTCATTTATCATAATGGACAAAAACATGATTATTTTCCCAGACGTGCAATGGAGGTTCAACTGGACGACCCCGGAGACTTATATTGTTCTGCTATAAGTAGACATCAAAACATTTCCGTGTTTATGTAAGGCTTTGTAACAAAACCTCCCCCTAAAACTTCTCATTCTTAAACTACAGAGGATCAGGAGAATCTTTGATGCATTACTTCATCTTCTATCCCAAGCTGTAGAAACCAATCTACAGATATGATCACTGGACACTTCTGCTTTGACCGTGACCATGGAGATATTCCCCAACAAGCCACTCAGACTTTGCATTTGGGAATTCCTTCCCTCCCCTTCCCCCGCCCCCCTGGTCTGCAGGTGTCTCTCCTTCTTCTTTCCCTCCTCAGTGACTGGGAAGTATGGATGAACTGGGCAGCCACTGGCCCATAAACAGGGATAATGAAACAGGAATTTAACAGGACATCTTCAACTCCCTACCCATCTGGTAGAACATTTTAGAAGCGACATCACATCTGCACGCTGTCAAGAAAACTTATGTCCAGAACGTATGCAGGCATTGCTGACAGCTTTACTTCGACTTCTTATGTTTGTATAAATATCTTGATTCTTTTTCATTTGATCTCTTTATTGCACATTCTTAATTTTATTGTTCTTTTATAAAATGGAGCAACTTTTATGAAACCTAATATGCTCCTGGAAAAAAGTAAACTGGTTCCGATATGAAAGATAATGGCAGTTGGTCCACAAAAGAACCACAGCTACATTATTTTTAAACCATTGTATGCATGTGTTTATGTATAATTGTGGTCAGGGACAACAATATTAATATCACTACTTCATTTTTAAGAAGTAGCGTGCAGGATTTAAGGGGACCTGTAAAAATGGGATGTATTTGTAACACTTTTTTCATTGTGTATAATCACCTTAAACTAATTATGGTTTTATCTTAGTTAGCTTATAATAAGCAGATGGCCATGTTGCTCCACCATGTTGCTACAGTAGCTCAGAACGGATAAACCAAGTACTGACTATAGAGAGTCTTTGAAGTTTTGACATAACCTGATAGCCAAAGATTATCAGCAGAAGGTGGGGTTTGCGATAGAGCATTTGATATTCAATTCATAACCACGCCGCTGGATGCCACTAAATGTTACACACTGCTCCTTTAAGATGACCATATCAAGATTCCAAGGGGAAACTCTATATCTAGTACATTTAGATTGCTGAAGTTACAACGGTCCTACAGAGTTGGAGGAAGCCATCACAATATAAGCGATATACAGGAGTATATAATCAGTGATGTTCAGATTGACATTCCTATCTGTGGTTGCAATTAGCTCAGCTCCGTGTTTAATGAGGCAAAGATGTGTCCTCGACCCCGCAGTCCACTCCATGACTCTGACTTGACAGTTGTGATCTCATTCAGCCCCCCTGGTTTGTTTTTCTCTGACCGATTGTCCCAATGCGAGTATTTTTGGAAGCAGCATGATTAGAAAATAACACAAACCCAATATATTTCCCGATAGGTCTTAAGTCATCTGTTAAACAAATAAACCACTAAAAGGACAATTGCATAATCTCACAGCTGAAACGGGACAAACTAAACCAGCGTCATGGGAACCAAGTATAGGTTCAGAATCTTGACCTGCCTGATTTTTCATTTATTTTACAGTAAGTACATCTTGCTAGTTATTGCTTTATGGTTTCTATGAGTTGCCTTGGTGAACCCATTTGCTGTGTTCGATATTTTTTAAATCAGATGATTTCATTTAGCATTTAGGTTGAAATAGTCGGACAGGATGAACTTACAGTCGCTCCAGCTTTGGTAGTTGAGTGAATGATTCTGGTTCCAACGAATCAATGTTGTTGAAGTGCAGGTACCTGGAGAAGAACAGAGCATAGACAAAGCACAGTCAAACTGGATTAGGGATCCCTGTCTGACTAAATATAAATTCATCGTCCTGGAAGAGCCTAAGAGGTGTATCATTTAGAAAACTGTTAAAAAACAGTGTTTTCTAGTTTTTTCTGTTCGCCTGTCTATCCCTTACACTTCAAAATGTTCAAAAGTAGTTTAAAAAAAGGTGACAGAAGGAATTTGCACATCCATCTTGGAGAGTTGATGAACAGGGTCTGAAAATCTATGGCTGAAGTTTGAAATGAGATTGCCCACAGGTGAAAAGCAGGAACAACGATTACCACATGGAATGCAAACACAATTTATGCTCTAAAAAGCCTGAGCTGAGAAAACATAAATCAAAGCACAGGCTAACAAATACAATGTCAGGGATATCAAAGGGATGGCAGATCGATAAGTGTCCAGGACTCAATTAGTTTGTTTGGACAGTGAAAGCAACAGACAAAGCAGCTGCAGCGACAAAACAGACACGCAGAAAAACTAAAGCAGCATAGAGTCTAACATAAAATGCTAAATTCCTCTGGATGTGTTCAACACTAGAAAGTCATTTTTAGTTGTTTCTCAACTGCTGATTTATTTCTGTATGTTTAAAAGCTGAACTGAACATCCAACATTTTGTCTTTGGGTGTGTTCTAGTGTTGAAAGGAGCTTGGACAGAAAACAACACAATGCAGATAAGCAGAAAGACACAATGGTGTAATGAAGACCTAACCTAAGAACTAAGCTCATTTAAAGCCACGTAATACCCCTCTAGTTTTCAATTAACATCCTATTTCTTTATCATTACACCTTCAATAACATTTGAGATCAAGTTTTACTGTTATAACAATTTTAGATGTGGATAACATTCAAATGTATCAGAATTGGTTTTAAATGTAAAAAACTAGATAATGTCTTGCTTTGCATCCATGTTGTGACCAAGTGTGTGTGTGTTCCTTTGTGATCCCTAACAACCCAACTGGCATCTTGATAACACAACAACAGAGAGAGCTGGGGCTATTACTAAGAAGTATGTGACTTAACGCTCCAGCGGTGATATAGAATAACTATTCAAGTATATTCAATCGGGCTCAGAACTTGTCACTTGTATATAAAACCCTTCATTATTGCGGCGAAACTCAAAACAGCTGCCAGGCATGGACCCCGAAGTAGGGGGTGGTCTGACTTGGTGAATTTTGTATCTGTTGCTCTGTAAATCCAGTTTTAGAGAATAAGTAATCAGCTCCAAAAAGAGACAAAAAACCTTTAATCTACTAAAAAAAAAAGGTGCAAGTCAACCATGTAAGATATAATTATGTTTTTTTAACAAACTGTACAAAAAATCTTGTACAATTTTATGATCACACAATTCATATATTATCAAACAACATTTGCAAATGTGTTGTTATTGTCAAACATGAAAGTATGGTATAAAGATAGAAGAAGGTTGTGTGTGTTTTAAGACTTACAGAAAGCAATTACATTTCATCACAAATACTTAACAGACATTATGCACTAAAGGGTTCTCAAAACACTTAGAGCAGCAAATTGGAGCACAAGGGACGTTTCTGCAGTAGCAGGAGACACGCATTGCAAGTCAAGCTTTGCTCTGAAGCACGAGCTCTGACCGAGCACAACACTACTGGCAGCACGAGGCTAGACGTCATGCTCTGGGCTTTGCATGGGGGTGGCAAATATCTGCCGTCCTGACCACAAGACATGCGACTCATGCAAAAGGGTCAGCGCGGCATACAAGGGTGGGTGCACACACGGCATGCATGGTGGCGGTGGAAAAGTAGATAGAGGGGCGCACGCAGGGGGTGGAAAGTGACACGGTAATGAAAACTGAACATCATGACAACTGTGTAAGGCCCACACAGTCATGTCATACAACGTTCATAACAGCTCAAAAATAATGCCAATATTTGTGAAATGCACCACATGACTTGTGTAACAATGTTGACCTTACCAGGGATCATGAATTGTTTTTTTTTTAGCAATCTCTCAGGAAGGGTTGGGTGGGGGTGCTAGAGGTGTTTTACAGACGGGGAGACAGTAGGGGTGGGGAGTAGCAGTTTGGTCGAGCAGAAGGAAAGGTAAACGAGGAAGTTGGTCACTTACAGTTGCTCAAGAGAAACAAGCCCCTTAAATGCTTGTCTGTCAATTGATTGGATTTCATTCTTGTACAAATAGCTGGAAGGAGAGATAACCAGTAACATTAGTAAAACACAAACACTCACACAGGATCATCTGAATTCTGTCTGGTTATTATAAGAGAAGGTAGAGGGGATCTGATCACAAAACAGTTGTCTGGTTGCCATTTTATGATGGTATGATATGAATTACATATATAATACTGTAGAATATGTTTTTAATGAAGTATATACTACACTTCCTGCTTCTAGTCCAACAGTATAGGTTTACATTTACATAACACAATCCAAATCAAAGACTTAGATATGTGCACAGCTCATGAGAACATGTGTAGCTGTTAACATGGTGTGTTCATCACATAAGATCATCCATTTGAACTTGAAATAATTGTGTAATATGCAGCATATACAGGATGATTATGGGATGTTAGCACACGGAAAGACAAATACCCTTGATGTGTGCATGTTTTCCATCCATCATACATGTTACAGAAATGTGATACTAGAAAAGCAAAGATTTAAGGCTCTGCCCTTTACTCTCCCATATTTCTGTGTCATCTTCCAACACTGCACTCATGATGAGACATGATGAGAGATAGAGAGCTCCCCATAGTACAAGTGACGCAACGCATGGACAAATAAACATTCTCTTTTTATAGTTGCATGCCTTTCTCAATGTTAGAGCCTGTCTCTGGTAACGCTACCATGACAATTCATTTCCATGCCAAGCTATTTCGTACATACTGATGATGGTAAATGCAACTATAAGTGTCATTTGTTTACTTTGGTGACTTCTTTTATCACTGTTTTTGGGTTTAAGAACCAGGAAGATTTTTCCTGACTGCTGCTAAACATCACAAAACCAAAAGATATACATTTAAACTAAAACAGGATCCGTATGTAACTAAGAAAGTTAAATTAAAGTTATTTGATGCGGAATTAAATCTGTGTTCTTATGGTAAATGCACTGATTGATTACAGATGGATGTAAGGTAACAGAATAATAATACATTATTCAATCAAGGGTTCCCAGAAAGAGGAGCATTGAACTCTGTATGACTGTGCTGTGGAAGAGGGGGAGGGGGCCATTAGGGTTTGGAGGACATGAAAGATGACAGGGAGTGGACTTTACAAAGGTTTAAAGGAAGTAAAGAGGAGAGATGGGGGGGGGATACCTTACCCTAATCACAAAGAGGAGACAATGGTGCAGGCTTAAGATCAACTCTATGTTTAGCTGTGAGGGCCATTGTAATTAAAATAGCTACAGGATTCAATTACAACACAAAGAGGGAGGATATATGCCGGGAAAGCATGTTTGTGTTTGGGTGAAATGAGGAGAGAAAAAAAGTAAAAAGCCCACTCAGTCCCACTCTCTCTCGCTCTCTTAGAGTTGTTGTGTATGATCCTGTCTCATGTGTGTAGTTTTCGGCCTAAATATGGTCTGGACAGTGATGTAACAGTATGTCACGTAGGGCTGCCCCCTGAGAGTCCATGTGTGAAACTATCGGAAGGCAACCCCTCAGTTCATTTGAAATTCTTTAAGTTGAGACAGACCTTTTCTTTGTCAATAAGTGTGCATGACCTAATGTTCTTATATTCTAGCAGGGCGAGAGTATTTGCTTAATCTACAGGCAGTATAGACTTGATCTATATGAAAAGGCAAAAATGTCACACCCTAAAAAGCATGGTAAATTGTTGTGGTCCGTGTTTAAATACATGACATTCTTATCCAGTAAAGCCTTAATGTCACACTACTTCTTTCACACAAACAGACTTTGATCAGTAGTTATATTATTCATTTGAATATGGTACTTTATCTGCCATTATGCAGACACCTAGCCTTGTCTAATCAGAGCTAAATGGAAAATAATGATAAGTTCAGTTCAAAACGTACAAAAATATCACCAAACACAAGGCACTGTGCGCATGTACTGCGTAGTTCCAGGCAGGGAAATCAGCCCATATCTAACTGTGAGCACAGACAGTACTCTTACCGCGACTATAGCCTTTGGGATGATAATGTAAGTGACGAACAAAGGAAGCAAACTAGCAATCCCACAGAAACCTTGAGGCTATACACGCCTCGACAATCTGTTCTCAACCCTGCCTCCAGGTCACGGCTTCCAGACACTTAAATACACAGGATCAGACAAAGGGAGACTGTTCCTTGATGTATTTTTTTAACACTGCCCTGATACATGTATACTGTCTGAGTAGTAACCATCAATAAGTGTTTTTTTGCAACAATAGTATCAGACATGTTTCACCATGCTCCCTCTTCTGTTGATGGAACAAATGTGAACTCCTTTAACAGCCAACTATCACGTTTGACAGTAAAGAGGTGCTGCCACATATTCTTAAACTCTATCACTTGACCTTAAAAGCACAACAACATTGACATGAGGCAACTTACAGATATTTGAGGTTTTCCAGATCTTCAAATGCCCCCCTGGGGATCCTTCGTATATGATTGTTGTTGAGGAGGCTGTGTAGAAAAGACAACAGGGGATCTTTTTTACAAGATGGACAGTTTGTGTGGGTTGATTCGGAGAGGAGTGCAAAAAGCTATTTAAGGCAAAATACATTATAATGGCATTGAAAGGATTTGAATCAATTGCCTCCTGACGTCTGGTCATCTTATAACAGTTTCATATTTCTCAGCGATTTAAAAACACCTGCAGTGTGCAGAGTTGTTATTCCCAAAGTGTTGTGATCTTTTTAGTAAAGTAATATAGGACATGTCGCTGTACTTCAAAGACTGATGGTTTTTAGTTGTTGTTGTTCAATTCGTGGAACTGCAGACTGAAACCATAAAGAGCTGTTGGGGATATAAAGCTCTCAGCAGTCCACATAGCTGGCTGGCTGATAGGAAAAGCCGGGCTTTCTCCTCCTACTTTAAGGGACTTTTCTTGACTTTGAAACTAAATCTAAACCACTATGTTAATAGCCTGCAATGATTCTCATGTTTTTTTATCTATGGATATACAGTATATAACCATATATACTACACATTCCATTTTTTAACTCTTCTTATTTTTGCGTTTGTCTTCTACCTTTCTTTGCAGCTGCCACAGGAGAAAGCATTTTAATAATGTTAAGGTGTGTCTGATTTATTTGAGCAGTCAGCTGAACAGCTTAAACACTGTTATTACTGGATTGCTGAAACATGCACACATTTGTTCTTTATTTTAAGAAGGTTTTCTAATATGTTGCCCAAGAAAATCACAAACACTTGAAACATTACAGGTCCTTAATTAGCTTAGCAATGCACCATGTAGCAGCCCGGACATATGACCAATAGCTCTGTGGGTGGAAGTGGAAAAGTAAATTCCTCATAGATTACGAGCTGACCTACATGTGTGAAACCATAGCAGAACAAGCCTGTGTGTGTGTGTGTGTGTGTGTGTGTGTGTGTGTGTGTGTGTGTGTGTGTGTGTGTGTGTGTGTGTGTGTGTATATAACAAACAGGTCTTTCTAGGGAAGTGGCAATCAGCAGAGTGTTGTTTTAAGGAAATTGTCTAGATTTATTTCAAAAGTCTCATTAAATACAACTAACAACAAAATGCTTATACAATGAAATATTATTCAGAAAACAAATTTGCGTCAAAAAAGAGGAGCGGGGACAAAGACTTACAGTGTATTGAGGTTCTTTAATCGTTTGAAGGAACCTGGTTGTAGATCCTTGATTTTGTTGAACCTGAGGTCGCTGTAGAAAAGAAGACAAATATATTCATATTAAGGAGAGTATCAAAAGTTGTACATGAATACAAGTTACTTGAAAGATCTCTAAATGTTTTGAAAGCATGCAATACACATCTGCATTAACTAAAGTCAACAGCAGAGCTTTCACATAATAATCCTGAAGGATAATTGGACACATTACTCATTTCACAAGAATGCCTTTGTGAAGCTTTAATCATGTGGGCAGATTTATATAACATTTGCCCCAAAGATAACAATCACCAAGCCAGTCGCAGCAGTCAGCAGTTGTCAGGGTCTTTCTCCTTTAACTTCTTAATTTAAAGTGGCTGTGTAATGATAACAATAACTTTGACATGGCACTAATCACTCTTGGTCTACCAAAGAGTGACATAGCTTGACGAGGTAAAGACCCTAAAACTGCAAATATCCCTGTGAAGGTGAAATCATTCTTAAACCCACGAGGCATTACTCGAAATTGGAACATGTCATCTGAACAGTGATGTTATGTTTATAGAACTTGGGCTGTAAGTCACCTGATCTTCAACTAAGCCTTTTGCTAAACGTATTTTAATAAGATATTCTGTAAGGGGAACCAGCTATTTAGATGACGAGGGGCAAAAAAATGCAATGTAATGTAATTTAGAGAACTCTTAACAGTGAGTGCATGCAGAAACACCATTTGTATCAAGGTCTTTAAGGTAGGGCTGCTCAATTCATCGTATTTTAATCGCAATTACGATTTTGGCTTGCAACGATTATGAAAACATCATAATCGAAATAAAACGATTTTTATTTTTTTTATTATTGGTTTTTCAGTTGAATTATACTTAAAGTTCAGGGTAATCAACTGTTAAAAACATACTGTTCACGTTTTTCTTTTCAATAAATGGATGTTTTCAAAGTAAATGGATAATCGTTTTTAATAAATCGTGATATCAATTATTGACCCAAATAATCGAGATTATGATTTTTCCCATAATCGAGCAGCCCTACTTTAAGATCTGCTTTAACCCACAACAACCAAAGAAGTGTAGCATTATTCGACAGAGCGTGTCACCTGAGAGGAAAGTCTATTGAAAAAACCGCTGGCCAAAGAGATAAAGGGAGCATTCGGGTGGAACCACAAAGCAGATTTATCACTGCACTGAAGAAAGGAAGAACTACATCAGCCTTTTTCTCTAGAAAGCCTCACTCACTGCAATGACCACAAAGTAAATAATCTTAGACCGGGTCACACAGACATAATGTGATTGTGCAAAACTGTCACGGCACCAGGGTTATGAGAACCCTGGGATCAGTCTTATTCTCAGTTTGATGGCAACACTACAGCTAAGTATTTATCTTGTCCATTTCCCTTTATTTACAAAAAGCAAAGCAGCGGTGACTCCTTACATTTCTGAAAAGATGACGTCCAAATAACCAAATCAACTGATTTCATAGCCGGTGAAAATGTTTATGAGTCAGTGACTCTGTAAAAGCCTTCACATATGGGTCCAATCAGAGGGAGTCCAACTTTTTCATATGCTGACTTCCTTTCATATAGACTGTGAGCTAGTGCAAGACTTCACATGAAGAGCTTTTCTGTTGCTGACATGCTTTGTGTGGAACGTCCTTCAAACAGCTATTATATTGTTGTTTCTGGCACCACCTTCTGTAACTTCAAAATAAAACTATTATTTTCAAATTAATCAACAGCTTTGACCAAACAATACAACCTCACAATCAAGGGGATGAAACAGGAGTGCAAGTTTGATGCACTTGGAGCACTAAGGATACTTAGGGCTGTAATTGGGTAAAATTGACTGTCAAAAACATTTGAGGTGAAGAGAGGGTTGAGGGTCTTCCGTAAGAAGATCGGGGATCACTGTGAGGTGAGGAAGTACAGCACCCTTAGGAAAACTCCCCTCTTGAGGCAACAAGCCCAGGGTACATAATGCACTCCCCTGACAAGCTGAGGCAGGGGCTGCCAAACTGCCTCTAGCTCAGAGAGATGAGGGTGGGTGGGGGAGGGGGGTCTACATGCTGGTTCAAGCAGCACCCATCTCAGGTGCAGAGATGAAAGCCCTCTTTCTCAATTCTGCTTAGGTAAGTCTAAAGTTAAATGAAGGGTCGTACTCTAGGGTCTTAGCTTTACCTTGAACTGGCTCAACCAACCCCACACACACANATAGGTCTCAGAAATATACAAATATATAAAAACATGTCTATGAAGTGTTTTGCAAAAAGATCACCCATTCTAGCCATGCCTCATATCCCTCTATTTCACTTCCTGTTTCAAAAGTGCTGGTTTTGGGGCATAAAGCTTTAAAAAACAAAATTGACAAAAAAAAGGAGGGGGCTGAGCTCATGCAGGACCCGGCAGCTACTGTCTAAACTAAACACTGCCGTGATGAAACGACATATCATGGATTATCAAGGATTATTTCTGAAACAGTATGGAGCTCAAAGGCTTTCTCTCTTGCCGGTTATACCACAAGGTGAGTTCCTCTTTATATCCAGCTTCTTCACACACGTGCTCTCCAGTACAGGTTAGCTCTGAGTGTTAGCGATGCTAATGTAAACACTGACCATATTATGTCCAAAACAGTCGGGTATTGTTTCTGATAGCAACGTTTCTGACAGTGCCGTGGGTCCACATTTCCGATATTACGTCATATCGGACGCAAATCTGGATCAGCTCCGTTGTAGCCCCGTTTTTAGAGATTTGGGTACAGAGGAAAAGAGAGAGGGTTTTATTTTCTGACGCTGCGTGGGTTCCCTGAGACACCGGGGACAAAAGACATCAAAAAGTGCATTTTGAATGATAGGTCCCCTTTGTCCGGCAGTGGCTCAGTCAGTAGGGGCTTGGACTGGGAGCCGGTTCAAGTCCCTGACCAGACATAAAATATGGAGTGTGGACTTCTACTTGTAGAGGTCCCAGTTCACCTCCTGCCCTGCTGTGGTGCCCTTGAGCAAGGCACCGGACACCCCCCTTCCCCCCTCACTCACTCCCATTGCTCCCCGGGCGCTGTTCAGTAGCTGCCCACTGCTCCTAGTACTAGACTCCTGGTGCTAGGATGGGTTAAATGCAGAGAACACATTTGACTGTGTGTGCTGTGTGCTCTGCATGTGTGACCATTAAAGAGGGTTTCATCCCTCCCAATTCTATTATATATATTATAAATGCAGCTATCGCTAACATCCACAATTGTTTCACTATAACTAAACTGGAAGCGATGACTAATGTTTTTCAGTTGAACAAGATGGTCTATGAAGCTCTTTTGTGATGGTTTATCATCAAGGAACTAGCGAAAAGCAGCAGTATGTATAGAGGACATTGAGTAGTTGAGGCATTTATGTGAAATTCCTCAGGAAATAGTTCAGAGAGTCCCCAGAGACAGATCGGCTGTTGTCACAAAAAATGTGCACAGATTGCTGGACATTTTATGACATTTCTTCAAAGACATCAAATGAGTCTGTTAACTCCCATGTGTTCTGATGGCACAGCGCCAAAGGAAACTGTAAAAAAGGAAGGGTAACTACCCTGTACAGGAGCTAATAGACTAATTTGGATATTACTTAAAGGGGACCTATCATGCAAAATGCACTTTGTGATGTCTTTAATACATAAATATGTGTCACCGGTGCGTCGGGGAACTCACGGAGCGTCAGAAAATAAAACCCTCTCTCTTTTCCTCCGTACCCAAATCTTTTAAAAACAGGGGTACAACGAGTGGATACAGATTTGCTGCCGATCTGACGTCAAATCGGAAGCGGACCCCGAAAATTGCTATCAGAAACAATGCCTGATGTGTTTTGGACATAATCTCGTCTTTGTTTACATTAGCAAGCCTCGCTAAAACTCAGAGCTAACCTGTACTGAGGTGATTTAGGGACAGTGTAACTACGGCCCATCACAGGAAAAGGTTGGTACTTATTGGTCAACATATTACCATATCCATTTGACATGCAAGCAACTCTACTCAGAATATTTAAACATCAAGCCATCTACATTTTAAAATACTGTATTTGCTGGAAAAGATAGACAACTTTTATTCTTTGCCTATTTGCTTGGCACAAACAACAAAAAGTTGCATCACAGCCAAGCTAACATCTGGTAATGTCTGAGACAGGCAGCACAGCTGATCCTCTGATTTCTGTCAAATCAACATAAATACAGTTCAATGACAGCTGTGCAGCCTGTTAAGCTTTTTCCCCCCGTTTCACGAAACTGTGTCTCAGGGCTTCTTAAAATGTAATAAACTATTAATGTGTCATACTCAGCTAACTGATGATAAGACCCATTGTTACCGAAACAAAACACAAGTATCACAAGAAGCGTATAAATGAGCGAGAAAATGCTAACGCACTTAGCACAGAACTCTAGGTATACATCGATCGCTATACTTATCGGATCTGCACAAAAAGGCTTAGCTAGCAAGCTGAGATTCCACAGATTCTATAAATATAAGTACCATCACTAAGCGATCAGAACTCGCGACAGGGGAAGCAAATACAGACAATACACAACGTAGCTTTAGGTAGCAAAACACAGAGCTATGCTCACCTTTTGCTGTTATTCTGATCAAAAGTCGTGCTCAATGGCATTAAAACGAGGAAAAACGCGGCTGAAGGTTAATCCATAGGTTAATCCAATATGTCTGTCACAAATGATTGATAATCCATATTTCAATTTTTATGTCAAAAACTGAGTTTTCATATTAGCTGCTAATGATATCTACCAGAGTGTATGACAGCTTCCTGTTTTGGCTACGCGTCACTCTCACTCCTTATTTTGTAACGTGTGTGTGTGGAACTTCCCCTCGATTCCATTGGCCCCTAACGGTTATAAAGAGATGTCAATCACAAATCCACCCAAATGACCCCAGAAGTGTTTTTCTTTTGTGCTAAATCTCTCTAAAAAAGGTCAAATTTCACTTGTTTTGCATCAATCTTGATACAGGGTACTTATTTGTTATAGTTTGGATTCCTAAAGCTTTTAGTCTACTATCCCATCATTCAAGG